TTTCAAACTAGGGTTCACAACACCCAAGTGAATAGGTAGACTATTCCATAGCTAGGCAAAGGAAACATAAAAGAGGAGAGAAAGAACCATGAAGAGATGATAATTTTTCTTCCTCCTTGCTTGAATCTACCTTGAGAGGTAAGAATCTTCACTCCTCTAGCTTAGGGCAAGCCCAATCTCTTTTGTCCTCCTTTGAATGAAAATTTCTCTCTATTGAATAGGAAGAGGAAACCCTAATATCTCACTTGAAACCCCTCTTTATTCTGAAAAGTAAAATCCTAGAAAAAGCTCTCTATTCTCCTCCAGCTCCCTTATCCTTTTATATACAGGTCGCGCCCAGTTCACGGTCCTAGATCACGGCCGTGAACATTAAGCGTAGACCGTGAACTGGCTCGATGCCAGTAACATGTAGAAATGCTTTGGAAGCACGTACGTTTTTTTCACTTTTGCGCACTTTTCAACCTCCAATCGAACCGAAACTTATTCTCGACCTTTCCACACGTGCTAGGACCTAAAATATGACAAAACAAGCACACTCTAGCGTAAAATAGGTCGAGATACGATGAAATGAAAAGTCAAACTATAAACAAATGAGGGTTAAAATGTATACATTTAGACCCGAATCACTGAGCTTGTGTATCAATTGAATAGTCCCTTCAATCGTGGTCGAGAAACTACCCTTTTATGCCATACGAGCTTTCCCTAGGTGTGGAATTGTCTGTTGGTTCCGTTTTATCCAATTTCGTATTAAGATTGCGTTGTTCTTTATTCAAGTTCTATCAATCTTTGGATTGATCGTATTGATGCGTAACTTTGATAACATACACCCCTAGGGTCGTATTAGCTTTGGATACCTCGTGCACACGCAACAGATCCTCCTTCTTTCGCTGAAATTCCTCATGCACGTTCTTAAGCATCTCGGCATGATCCACTTCAAGGTGTCGCTTCTCTTCAGCACACTCATTCCCCAGTCGCACCCTCTCTTCATCAAACTCCTTCCGTAGCTCTTCACGGATGGCATCTATCTCTTCCGCTCGAGCCTTCTCCTTCGCTACTCGGATCTCATCCTGCAACTTACTCTACAGCATGCCCAGCTGCTCCAGCGCCTCATTTGCCTTTTTCGTGGCATCCTTCGCACGCCCTTTAGCACCCGGGACCCTACCTTCAACCTGAATACTCTTGTCCAGCTTCGCCTTTAAAGTCGCGGTGTCATTGGCCCTTTCTTGCTGGGCATGCAAGGTAGCCAGCAAACCCTACACCAAAAAGCCCCCCAATTGCCTTAGTAAAAAAAGGGAAAATGATAGAAGCCAAATCGAAGTACAACAGAAAATAGTAAACCAACTAGAACACTTACAACAAAATGAATTTGCGCTAAATACTGGAGAGAGTCGTTGCTCTTCAGCCGCGGAGGGATACTCAACACCGTACCCACCGCTCGGAGGGCATTTTGCACAGCACTCAGAGATTAAGCGATGCCAAAATGCAGCCGCACATACCGAAAGTACGTGGGAACGAGGGCCTCGAACCCAGGCATCTCGGGCAAAGTCTGCAGCACTGTTTGCCTCGAGGAACTCCCTCCAACCACCCTATCAGGTCGCGGCAGCTTACTAACCCCTAGTTTCCTCTCAACAACCTTGCTTAACGCCTTCCCTACCGGGTGCACGACCTTAGCATTTTTCTCTAGTGCAGCATGGCGATCAAGCTCCTTCCTCTTCTTGTCGCCGCGAGTTGCCATAGGAGCTTTGCAACCTCCTCGATGGACATCATACTGACCACCGACGAATAGTCCATGCCTGCAACAGTAAGTCATAAGAAGGCCGTTAATATTATACAATGCAAAGACAATGGAGAATAACTAACCATCATTAAACATCTCCCCCAGGCGAGCCGCGCAGACTTCTCTACGGTATAAGTCTATCTGCTCCTTCAATAACATCTCGTACTCCGCTTCCAAACTGTTGTACGAGCCCACTTCCGACTCGAACCCTATGGCGCTCCCATTCTTCCAAACAGTCGGTTCGTCACCGTATTCGCTGGCTCATTCACCGGGAGTGCACTTCATATAGAGGAACCGCTCGAACTAGTTCTTGTCAAGCTGTGGAGACCCATAAACATACCCATTTGATCTCTTATCGCGACGCTTCAACGACAAACAGTCGCTCTTGTTCTTCTCAGTGGGCTCCTTCATCTTATAAAACTTGCAGAACAAGCCATACGTTGGCTCAATCGCGCGCCTCTTACAAACAAGGCGTAGAATAGACACATGCATCATCACGGATGGAGAGAATCGCGTGATGTAGCAATTTAACCGCCACAGCAGGGCACAAAACAGAGGGTTCACTGGGAATTTAAACCCAATCCGCCAGTACTCGGACTATATCCCAAACCATCCAGGGGGAAATTCCCAATGCGGCTATGCTCCGATAGCATCGCATACTGCCAGGTGGGGGGCAAACAAACTCGCATACACGCCGTTCCACCTCTCTCCACCCGAAGATAGAGACATGATCTGGACCGCGCAACAAGTTTTCACTAGGCGCGGAACCAGAATGAAACCTCTCCGCCCACTCCACAACCGTGTATTGGGCGTTGATGTGACAAGGACCAAGCTGACTCATCGCCTCTGAGATGCGCGGGATGCAGGCGGGAGGCTTCCGGCGAGAATGATCAGACTCTATGTATGAAATCTCCACCACAGCGGAGGCGGAAGGCTGGGATCCGCTCCCGATATCGCGGCGAATGATCAACACCCCTGCGCACCAAATCTTGATTCACCCCCCGATCCTGTCGCTGGCCTCCCTCAGAAGAGTTGTGAAGAAGATCATGACCGGCATCGACGCCGTACGACGGCGTCGCTGGAATTCCTTCGGTCACAGTTCCACCGTTACCCTCATCGTCGGATTCACGCAGATCCAGGGATAGATCAGTAGAAACACGAGAATGAGGAGAGAGATTACCTTATTCGTTGATAACAAACTCGATCTGGGCGTGGGAACCACCGTCAGCCATCAAAAACTGGTTGTGTTGATGGAGGAGAAGAAGAAGCAAGGTCGCAAACGAAGGAGAGTAATCTGAGTTTGTAGGAGATTTTCCAGAAGAAAGTTGAGAGTGGGAAAACAGATGGTGTTCCTCTGGAAACTGAGGTCACCTATTTATAAACAAAAGGAAAGAGAACGAAACGACTAAATAGCATTGGGAATTACAAGTGTTACATAAGATTTTTTGAAATTCAAAATCGAAAAAGTAACCACCCAAACAAGCAAACAGAGAAGCGCCACGTAGATAACAGTTGAATGACGATTGGCAGGCATAAGGCAGTGACACTCCCTACGCCAGCGCACCGCCTGGGGGGCAGGATAAACCCGCGGGATGGAAAAACGAACTCAAAGGAAATCTCCAACGCGTTGCCAACGTGCCCTAACTGTTACCAGCGGAACGAAGTTAACTACTTACGTAACCCGTGGAAGGAAGAAGAAAACGAAAGTAGCAGTCCTGCCTAAACGCGCGCGACAAACCGAGCCAACCTGACCCGAGCCATCAAAAGCACACAGACAGAACAGGGGGCATTCGCGGAATACCCCCTGCTGGGAGGCAATTGTTGGGCGCATGGCTCGGGTCCAGTCGCGCCAACAATAACACTCACCACCACTAGAAAGAATAAAGAATAGCAAAGCAAGGTGCGACCAAACCCCCCATCCGCAAGTACTTAAGAAAGACGCACTCAAGAACGTTCTCGCGCGTAAAGTATCGCCCGCGCGATAGTCACCAGGAGAGGCAGTATCCGCGTAACAATGCAACCTGCATACAAGAAACATAATACGACACCGTTCCACTGACATAGCGTCACGTCTCACTTGTAGACTGTTACACCCCATCCTTTTCTAAGTCAGAATGACCATTCTAGCATTGTTAAAAATTTGTCAAATTCCACCGTAATATCAATGAGGAAGAAAAACATTATAAACCCTTGGTTCAAACGGTGTCAAGTTTCGACATAAAATGAGAAAGTTATAGACGTTAACTGAGTTTCGAATTAAACTCACCCGTAATTATGAATTTCCAAAAAATATCCTTGGACTAATTAAAACCCTAGACATCTTACCCCACTCGACTTCACCACTAAAACAAATAAAACCCCGCGGTTTTATTTCATGGTTCAGGAAACCGTACCGGACATCATATCGGATTCCTTTTTGGTAGGGTATTTTGTGGTACGACCATGATTTAACCATTACGTACCGGTAAATACCGTTTTAATAATAATAAAATAATTTTTTGTCAAAAAATCGTGCCAGCAAAATCAGGATACCGTTTTGAAATAATACCGGAATATACCAAACAATAAATACTAAACAATCATATAAATAACAAGAATTAGGTAGTAATAAGGCCCAAGTTCCTAAAAAAAAGCCCATGGACACATGAAATAGGAAATCGGATGAAATAATAAACACCCTACCAGAATAAAATTAGTTAGTAATAAGGTCCAAGTTCCTAAAACAAAAGCACATTGACATGGAATGGAACCCTAGGCGCCGCTACCCTCCTCTTCCTTTTCACTCTGCATTCTCTCAGCTCTCGGCTCTCTCAGCACTCTGCATTCTCTCAGCTCTCGGCATAACAGGCACTCCTCTCTTTCTTCTTTCAAACAAAGCGCTTCCTTCCTCTTCATTCTTTTTCCGCATCTGAGCAGCCGATCAGATAACGGTGGCAAGCGGCGACGGGATGGCCTGGAAGTGCGATGGCCAGGAGCGGCGGATGTAGCTGGCGCGTGGTGGAGATGAACAGATGAAGCAATGGCCGCGTGTGGAGGCGGTGACGAGGCCCAGCTAGTCGGCGTTTCGTTGCAAACAGGCTACCGCCGATAGGTTAAAAACCTGCTAGTATTACGCGATCGATCGGTTCGATCGAAAAAACCGACCGATACGATATTTCTACCACTAACCACCTACCATTTCGTTTCTGGTCCGGTTTCCGATTTTTTTTTTTGAACCGATCAGTACGATCCGATTTCCTGGTCTATGTTTTATTCCCCCACCCGAACAAACACTTTCACAAAGAAACAAAGGAGATTGCAGCTAGCTCCGTTTCTCCCCTCGTACCAGCGGACAAGCACAACCCCCCGCCGCCTCCTTGCATCATGTCCAAGGGAAATGGCGTCGTTGTCCCAGGGAAATTAAAAGGTGGTGCATTATTTTGGAGTACTGATGAACCACCATTGGAGATTCCATGGATCAATCGTCGAGGTAAGGAGCATGTCCTGATTTTTTTGTCCTGTAGCTATTATCACCTAACGTGGCCAGAGCTGATTAAGGGGAGGATTTAATGGGTAGCTGGATGTCTTGGTCCATGTTATAATGGACATGTTAAGGATTGGATTGAAGGGCTAAGTAAAGATTAATAATGAGAGGGATATAATACATACGAAATTGAAGTGTTATGTATGAGTTGAAGGGTGGGCTTAATTGACGTAAGTCATGGAGAACAGTGGAAGTTACACTGTGTACTTGTGATAGGTACTTGTGCACTCCTGTACTTGGATGAAAGAGATCAATACGGGAGCATTCCTCTGCGAAGCTGGATGATAATTTCAGTCGATCAACTCGATAAGTAAAGTGAGTGTAAATGGTGTAAAATCTCTGTCGTAAGTCTTTTAGTTTATGTTTTTTGTTCAAGTTATTATTTAGTTAATTTTTGAGTAATGCGCAATATGTGTGTGAGGCATCCCACCGCCTACTTAAGGTGGAGGCAGGCGTTGTGATGTGTATGAATGTATGATTGTAATAGTTGGTTAATGGTAAGATGAATCCCCCTAGGGTAGGGACACCAAACGACGATACGTAACGCGGTGGTCTATAGTGTTTTGGTGTCTATGGATTGATGATATAAGTAGAGAAATTCTATAAGATAAGATAGGAGTATAGATCTCTTATAGACTGGTTTGAGAATAAAGTATAAAGGATGAAAGCGAGAACGGCTTTCGTCTAAGCCATGAACCCTAATAACGTGTCTTAGTAAGGGTTTGCTTAGGGCAAAGACTTTAGGAAGTAACGACGAGACTGACTCCCTTCTCACTCACCAAGTCGAGGAAGGGTTAGCAGAGGTGGAGTTCGAGAAGAGGCTAGGCGAGGCAAGAAGCCGCACCGGAGTGGACGAGATCGAGGGGAGCTTAGTAAGGGGTGTTAGAGTTCGTTTAGTTAGTTATGTTTATGATTATGAGTATAACAGGAGGTTCAAAGGTTAAGCTTTATTGACTATGTATTTGAGTTCGCCCACGTGTTTAGTGCATTTCATTTGAAAAGTATTTAGTTGTATCGATTTTAATGAGATTTTTTAGGTTGTTTTAAGTCGGCTCCGGAGCATGTGTATTTCAGTTTGTTAAAAGGATTGGGTTGTTACATAGACCCCATCATACCCTAGTTTTCTGTCTCTTCCAAGCATCATGTCACATTGGAAACCTACCCACCGGAAGGTAGCCTATAAATAGAGCATTTACCCCTGTGGTGGGGGATCGATTTTCTAATCTCTCTCTAGAAAACAAGAAACTTCTATCTCTAGAATCTCTCTCCTTTTTCTCAAACCTCTTGTAACAAAAATGGAATAAAACAGAAAACGGTTCAATTTCTTATTTCACTTGCTCCCAAAATCCTTTTGTCTCACTTCTGAAAGAAATTCCAAAATACACATGTTTTTTAAAAAAATTTCCAAAATACACACGTTTTATGAAAAATTCTCAAAATACACATGTTTGGACATCAATGTAGTCGTCAACCGCAGTGAACGAATTCACCACGGCAGACAAAAGCATTGAATGCATCACCATGGTTGACGGCCGCGGTGAATGCCTAACCTAACACTAAAACTTCAAACGAACGTAACTTTGTGCTCGGTTATCCGATTGTAGCGATTTTTTTTATTCCACATAAATTTTCAAGATCTTTGAATCTTAAACAGCCTTCATTCCAAAAAAAAAAAAAATCGTTTGCTACCCTGAACGAACAATTTTTCGATTTCGACAAACTTTGAAAGATCATAACATTGTGCTCCGCAGTCTGAATGTCATGAAACTTTTTTTGATTTCACATAATGGCTCATGTGTATCACGCCATGGATATCAACACTTTTTTCCATGTACTCGTCACGAGCTTCACGAGCTGAACAAGGTTTAGCTCATGCTTGTCTCGTTATAAACGAGTCGAGTCTCAAACTAGCTTTTCCCGAGTCGAGCGCCGAGCCGCTCGCGAGCAGCTCAGCTCATTTGCAGCCCTAGTTGTCCCTACCCATCCCTACCCTTATAGGATCAACAAATAACCCGTCCCTAATCTGACCCTGTAGACAAACTGATCCATCCGACCTTTAGGGACTAGACGGGTCAGGACGGGTCAGTGAATCTTTCGGATCAAGCTTTCACCCCTATGCATTAATGTGTGTTGGAGCCTGGAGTGCCGGACAAGTCGAACAAGGTGAAGCGGTTGGAAGTTTCTGAATGGTTGGGCACTGCTTTGGAGTTTGGGGCCTCTGAAAGTAAAGTGTAGCGGAGGAAAAGACAGTGTCACGGTTTCCACTGCCCAGATTGATAGTCTTGAGTGAGCATACAAATAATCTAGCGTATCCCCAATTTCTAACTCATTTGACATATTAGTTTTCATCATTTGACACTGTCATCTTAATCTCATAATAGAAAAGACAATTGGTATCATTATTAGCATTTCAAATGATGAATATTAGCTTACTAGTATGAGATTAAGATGATATTGTATTATATTTGTTGTTAACTTTGATATTGAAATGATTTTATGACATTTTTTTCTATTGACTTTTAGAATGCTTTGTTGTTAACATAAACTCCTCCATATCAATTATAATTCACGAGACAAACATGTCCCATTGAAAATAACATAGCTGACAATTTGGCTTTCCCTAAGACATTGATTAAGGGACAAATAGATCGTCCTTACAACTTACAAATGTGTGAATTTTGTCGTTCTTGAAGACACTATTTAAGCGACCATTAGTCGTCCCCGCAGATTGAGTTTAAGGGACAATTGGTTGTGAGGTTCCAATTTAGCAACCCTGAAGACACCTCTTAAGGCACGGTTGGTCGTTCCTATAATTTCATAGGTGACAATTAATCGTCCCTAAAAATATAGGTTAGGGATAACTAGTCATCCCCACAAGGGATATAAGTGACAATTAGTCGTCCTCGAAGACATAAGTTCAAGGACAACATCTCCTTTATACAAGTTACATCATTCCTTATCTCTAAAGACATATGTAAGGGACATATAGTCATCCCGGAAGTTGCATAGGTGACAACTCATCGTCCTCTAGACACAAGTTAATGGGCAAATATTCGTCCCCAAAGCCATATAGGTGACAACATGTCGTCTCTAAAAGTAATGTTCCGGGGACGACTTCTTGTCATAAAAGGCATGTCTATAGGGAGGACATGTTGTTTTTCATGGAAAAGAAATAAGACGTCGAATCGCAAGTATTGGGGACGATTGTCGTCCCTAGTAATGGGGACGACCTAAGATTTTGTCATCCCCAAAAGAATAGAGGGCAATAGTATAGGGAACCACAATCCGGGGACGACTTTTGTCATCTTCAAACCTCTTTTTTTTTTTTGTAGTGACCCGAATCCGAATATTGCGGATAATGGGTGGGTATGGATTTCTCACTATCCAACTGGAACCTACCCGATTATACACATGCATATGTATTTTGTCTAGAAATAATAATTATTTTTCTCTAACATATTTTATATTTAGCATGTTTTAATTAATTTTCTTCATTCTAGTAATTATTGTCGTACTTTTCCTCTGATATAATGTGTGAATACGTGTGAATGTTAACATCTTGGTTGGAGTTATAAAGAGAAATGATTACTCATGGACAATCGTAGATACCCGAACGAGTATGAGCATGCTTTCGATTTTCTACCCGTTTCTTATGTGGGTATAGGTAAAACTCGAACTACTTTGGGTAGGGTAACAGATATACACTATCCGCCCCGACCCATTGTCGTCCCTAAACCAACCTGTATGTTTTATTTTATATGTTATTGATATTATATATTCTAGTTATCTTATTGATTGATGTATATGTTTCGTCTACAACCTCTAAATCTGTATTGATTACTGATAGAGATGAGGAGTAGTTATGTGACTCTAATACCCTCGCCAGAAATTTCTTCTTGTGCATGTATGCATATGCTCCACCCCACAGGATATTAGGTGGGTGGGTGTGGGATATTTATCATATAATGTTGTCATTGAAAATGTGTGGGTACAAATGCAATGGCTCCGGCCGGGACATTAATAGGGCATGTATACGATCTCTCCATCGTATTAGATATCTCAAGTTGGAGGAAAGATATGGGGGATCTCTCTATTATTATATTAGTATTATTGTTATTATACGAAATTGCATTAGTACTACTAGCGGGCGCCGAACATTTATAATTACAAACAGTCGGCTGATTCATGCTTTATAAATGAATTAAGCATAATAATGGTAATGATGTTAGAATAAGAAGATCGATACTCAGAAATTTTGTCTTCCACGCAATGGGGGTGGATCGAAGACGGATTCATAGCATCCGTTCCCCGTGCGTTAGCCCTTTCGAGTTTCCCCTTCTCGGCCCTGGCCACTGAACGGGGTGAGATCAATTTCCGTCACCGTGAAGCAACAGATTCGGGGAAGTCACGGGTCCCCGTACCCGACATAAATAATAAATAATTAACATATAGAAACAAAAAAGTAACTGGAAAACATCTAATTCAATTGAAATTCCAAGTCATTTGTATGAAAAGCAGCTTAATAGCAAGTCTACAAGGCTGCAACCCTCCCATCACCCAGAACTCTAAATTTTCAGGAGTTCTTCAGTTGTTCGACATCTACTTACAAACAACTCGAAATCAGGACCAATGGCAGAAACAGAGGCAGTTCCAATCAATTCATTGAATGACCGGTTTATCAATCACAACAGCAGCAAAATCCGAGTGATCATTAGTAGGGAATGATGTGTATTGACTATCCATCTGTCTCAAAGGAAAAAAAACATCTCTATATAGAAGAGCAATAGAGATCATATCATAGGTATAATTCCACCTTGTTGGACAATCAAGCACAAGTTTTTTCCCAACAAACAACTTGAGCTGTTTAACAGCTTCATTGAAAGTCTGGGCCCTCTTAGGTGGGGAAGTCCAGTACATAACACTCTCCGTAATCAAATGGATTTCATCCTTTATCACATCCAAACCATCCTTCGCAATTAGGTTCAGTATATGAGCAGAACACCTCATATGAACCAGCCTACCAACCATCAACAAGTCATTCAAAACAAGTTTATTCTACAGGTGAGCAATCATGGAATCATTAGTGGAGCACTTGTCCAAGGTGATTACAGACAACTTTCCATCAATGTTCCAATTCAGAAGACACTGAAATAGTTTTCTTGCAAGCCTCTCACTCGCATGGGGGAAGGGACATACAAAAACCTTAGCATTGAGTTTATAAACTTCCAAGTATTATCAATAAAATGGGCTCTGACTGCCATATAACCCCTCTTCTGATTTGTGGCAGTCCACAGATCAGTGGTCACAACAATTTTACCCAGATTACCATCAATAACCTTTTGGTAGTTACCCCTTTCAACCCCATACAAAGACAATATATCCTTCTTCATAGTATTTCTACAAGGCAAAGTAAAATGTGGTTGCAAAAAAACAACAAAAACTCTTGAACCCCATGTGTTCAACAATGCTAAGAGGGTCCTCATGGTCTAAAATCATTGAACACAGCTCCTTCCTAGACAGATCAGCGTTGAACTCTGTAGCAGATAATTGAGGTTTTCCAGTTGCTTTATAATTAGAGCAAAGAATTTTTTGAGCACCATCATGTATCCTTTTTTGGATACAAGTATTGGCATGATTCCTGAGGTGCCAGGTTCCATTACGAGTATCACAACCAAGGTTTTTCCGATAGTACTTGCACTTAGATGTAATAATCCCATTAAGCTTAACTCAAGTGTAGTGAGGCCATACATCATATGCCAATTTGCATTCTTCAGCAAGTACTTCAGTATTTTCATTTTCATTGGCCAAGTTACCGTTACCATTACCAACTTGTTTAGGTTGATTGTTTTGATCAACAGGTGCAGGTTGTGGAGGAACAAGAGCATTGATAACATTTTCAGGTGCATCGTCCATCTGACATTGACATAAGCAATAGTATGGAAGCACCAGAGGATTGCTTGGTTAATTTTAGGATGTACGATTTCTAGGTTCGAAGCTTTATTCTTATAGATTAAATTGCAGATTAGACATTTAGACTATGCAAGACATGAACAGACACAAGTAATCAACAGAAACTCGAGTCCCTAAGGCCTAATACATGCAAAAAATTAAGTAAACCTTAAGTCCTTCACTAACCTCAAATCTAGAGAGAGGGGGTCTGTTGTCTAGAGTTGGAGATGGTGAACTGATGGCTGATACGAAACTGCAAAAACTCAAACAAAAGTACGAACATTACAATAGAATTCGTCAAAATCAATAGAACAAACTACTAATTACTATTTACTAAAGACTAAGGAACTCTGATTTGTGATTACAACGAGTATCAGAGCATGCAGTCACAGGTGCAGATGAAGATGAAACTGCAGCGCCCTAGAAAGAACTAATGGAGTTAATTTATACGAACCTAAAACTAAAGGAAGAAAGAAGTAAAAAGAATTGAATTTGAAGATACTTATCTCGAGTTCTGGATTTTCGGAACAATAATGAACGAAAAATCCTCCCAATAACCTCGAATCAGAGATTGGAATAGTCATCTTTTCCTTTTGCATGCTGATCTTTTCCTAAATCGATGACAATATTATTCTTTGATTGGTGAACAAAGAGGATAATGAATGACAGACAGCGAAGATGGAAAGAATTCCGTTCTGAATTTTCGGCACAATAATGAATGACAAATCCTCCCAATAACCTCGAATCGGAGATTGGAATAGTCATCTTTTCCTTTTGCATGCTGATCTTTTCCTAAATCGATGACAATATTAGGCTTTGATTGGTGAACGAAGAGGATAATGAATGACAGACAGCCTAGATGGAGAGAATTTCGTGGGGGATTGGTGAGATTCGGAGATCGTCAACAATCCGAAATCGATTGAGCTGAGATTTAGAGAAGAGAAGAGAGGGACGAGTTTCCAATTAGGGACTTAGGGTCTACCTCGAGCCTGACTAAAGGCTATTTATATGTGGTATAATTCGACGTCGTTTTCAGGATCGTGGCAGGCTCGGGGCGGATACCATGGACTCCGTCACCGCCAGCCATCCGTTACCCACAGATAACTGGTTTCCCCGAATCCGGTAATTCCCCATCAACGTCGGATTGGAACTGTTCAGCCCAGTCGAGTATCGGGCGGATACCCGGCCGTGCGGTTTGACATGCCAACCCTACTTGCACCTAATGAAGAATAACAATAATTGATATAATTCGAGGCAGACCCTCAGCAAAAAAAATAAATAAATATATTTTTATGAGTAAATGAATATAAATCATGGTTGTCATGCCGACCAGCGTGCCACCGGTTGAACCTGGTTGAACCGATACCGGTCATAAAATCGGTGTGACACCACCGGTATGACCGACATGATCGATATATCAATCTCTAAATAAAATGGCCTTATTTTAGTAAATTTAATTGATAAAAATTATTTTATTATTTATTTTATGAGTATAAAAGTTAAATATTGATGTTATTTGTTGGATTCAAGTATAAATCTTTAGGTATTGACGTTAAATGTCATATTTAAATATGAGTATTTATAATTTTATTTGTAATATTGACCGGCATGAACCGGCACAAGCCGATATGTGCCACCGGTCGAACCATTCCACTTGCTAAACCAACATACTGGCGTAAACCGGTTTGACAACCATATTATATGATAGTGCATCGACTTCGATGGGGATCGAACCCAGAAGCTACCAATACGAGATTTCCATTATCGTCCTTCTTCCCTTCCAAATTCCAACTAGGCAGGCAGAGGCATTTGTGTCGGTGGAAGCATGTCCTTTTCATGTATCGTGGGTTGTGCCAATTATACGAATATATGATGCTTCCTTTTCTACTTCATCTTTCTATGTAGGAATTTCTTTTCTTTAAAGTTTTCTCAACATGGAATTTATTTTTTTAAAAGGGCTCTCAACTATTTATGAATTACTAGGTAGATTTTGTGTTGCGCTTCGCATAGTATTAGATGTATTGTTGTAAACCGGTATTTGATTTGTGATCGCGTTTAGCAATGATCCATTAGAAAAAAATTCTAATATGATCTATATCAGTAGGTTTAGCTATATAAAATTATTTAATCACGTTTGAACTACGATTTTAGCACAAAATGCTCTAATGCTAACTTTTACAGCTCGACCTCCAGTATGGTTAAATTTTTTTCCCCCCAAATATAAGGCTCAGGTTGAAGGAACATGTCAAATATGATTTAACCACGATTGAACTACGATTTTAGCATAAAATACCATAATGCTAACTTTTTCGTTACGACCTTAGGTATAGCTTTACAACTTTTGGTTTGATGAACATAAATCGAGGCTCGGGTTGGAGCAATGTGTCAAGACTGATAACCACGGTTAAATTATAATTTTAGCACAATATGCCTTACTGCTAACTTTTCTGGTATGACCTTCACTATGATTTTACAATTTTTTGCTTTACAAAATACCCTAATGCTAAGTTTTTCAATATAACCTTTGGTGTGCTTTCACAATTTTATATTTCTAAATATAAATCGGGACTCGGTTTAGAGTAACGTGTGAAGCCTAAATCAAAGGCCTTTTCTCACTTCCATTGTCACGTTGAGAAAGAAGCTACAACGTGTCCACTACGATTGTACCGCAATGACGGCCCAATAGAAAAATTACTAACGAAATCTAAATCAGCAGGTGATTTTAGCTATATGAAATGATTTAACCTCGATTAAACTACAAGTTTAGCACAAAATGACCAAATGCTAACTTTTCTGGTACGACCATATGTATGGTTTTACAATTTTTGGTTGAACATGCATCGAGGCTCGGGTTGAAGTAACGTGCCAAGCCTGTTTTAACCATGATTTAACTATGATTTTAGCACAAAATACCCTAACACTAACATGTTAGGCTTGATTTTAACCATGGCTGAACTACGATTTTAACACAAAATACTCTAATGCTAACTTTTTCGGTGCGATCTTAGATATGGTTTTACAATATTTGGGTTTTCTGGACATAAATCGAGGCTCATGTTAAAGCAACGTGTCAAGCCTGATTTAACCACGGTGTTAGCACAAATTACCCTTGAGCAAACGTCTGGTAAGTGACAGTATTCCACTCCTACCCGAATTGGAGACCCATCATCAGGATAGACAGCAAATGATCTGGAAAGGATCCATCAGAACGCAGCTCTACCAGTACCCGGGCGAATCCCATTCGAGCTCCTCTTCTTGTAGTGTGATCCACTCCAAGTGGCACCCCAATCCAACTTGCAATGCGGCTTAACCCCATAAAATCAATATATTCCAATGGAATATTTGTCAGACGAAGCCATATCGAAAGAACACCTCGTCCCATATCCTCTACACTGATTCCCGGAGTCCAAGGTCTCAAATATAGGAGGTTCTCAAAATAGAACCAGGGGCCACTCTTCAGTATCCAATCATAAGTAGACTGAGAAGACAATTGAATCAGAAACAGTTGATCGGAGAGAAGCGAACCCTAATCAGACCATCGCGCCCCCATATGCGATTTTCCCAACGCCGAATAACCAGTAACGACGGAGGGGCTTGGAGAAACTGACCCACTAACCAATTCAAAATATGGACATTTTGTGTACTTATAATATTGTTTTGGGCTTTTGGCTATTATTCTCATAAAGTCGATAGGTAGGGCTATGTAAGTGAATTTCATTAATTCCACGTGAGATTATTATAAATTAAGTGTCGCCAAGTCAGCAAAAATGTTAGTCTAGTCAGCATGTAAAATGACTCCTTTACTATTTTCGACGGAATTGGACATTTTGCGTATTTTTTTAAAAATTGACTATTATTGTCAAAATGATGATAGTTATAATTATATAGGTGTATTTTGCCTATAATATAATACATATTTTAATTTTGTTTGGGAGGGGCGCCTCTGCCAACGAGATAGTTTGTCCCTATTTTTAAAATATTTATTGAATTAGGATAGTCTCAAAGTATGTGTATGGTTAATTATTAATAAAAAAACTAAATCTATGTTGGATCATGTAGTTTCGCATAGTCCAGCAATTGATTGTAAAGACAAACAAGATCCAATGTGCAGAGTAAGGTATGAGCCTACTAGATAGAGAATGTTTGATATATCAGAACTAGAAAAACCCCCGACGTATGTGGCGGACGATGCAATACTGATATAGAAATTAGTTATTCCATTTTGAATTTACATCACCTATGTTAAATTTTCCCTTGAATGTGTATTATTTGGTGAAATGCAAGTTAGTTATTAAAAAAAATCATTATGCAACTTAGACAAAAAAAAAAAAAGTTTGTTATAATTAGACTATATTGAAAAAATTGCATTAGTGGGCTTTTCATGTCATCATAGTAGTTTTGGTCTCCTTCAATAATTAACCTAGCCCACATCATAAAAGTTTAGGCACACAAGTTCTTCACAATTTACTAACATAATTGAGGGTTGTTGGTAGTGATTGATACTGCCGCGAGTCGCCTCCATCGATAGTTGTCACGCCGCTGGAATGCCGACCGGTTAAACATAGTATAATTGATGTTGGTCAAGAAAACATCTGGAATTTACTAACATAGTATGATTGAGTTTTTACCTCTAAACCAAATAATGTCGTTTTAGTAAATTTAATTAGCAAAACATTCATTTATGATTTAATTCATGAATTTAAAATTGATGTTATTTATTGGATTCAAGTCGTTGGGGAAAGGCCACCAATGCGCACAAACCGGATCGCGAGCAGCCACATCCTACCTGCCGCGAAAGAATCGAACCAAGGGACCCACGTACTTGCTCTGACATTCCCGTCTTTTTCGTATTAATTGCTCACCTAACTTAATGGGAACTATAAACACAACATTTACTCCACTTGAATAGAGGATGCAAATATTCCTTCTCACTCTAGACATTCACTCTATCTCCTTTATTCCAAACTCTCCCCACTTTTTATCTTTGTCGACCTCCCTTATTGAATACAAGCATTCTGATCTCTTTCTTAATCGTGTACGACTCCTACTCAATAGCCTTACACAAATAACTGGCGCCCACCGTGGGGCAAAATATCAAAATATTTAATGAGGAAGGAGCGACATTCCTACACTCAAGCCCTTCGATATAGGAGACAACCCCACTCAAAGCAATTACAAGCCAAAACCTCTTTGAATCATCAAAGAACCCTGAGGTGACGAGGCTTTTTCACAAGATGGATAACCCAGACACCGTTCTGATTGGGGAAGAAGAAGTAGAGTTGTCCGCCAAAGAAATCTGCCAGAAGATGGAGCAATAGAACAAAGCCATCGCTGATATGCAGGAGAAAATGAGACAGATGATTAAGCTAATGAGCGCCCAAACTAACCTTGTGCCGACAGCGCGTTCTCAGGACATGAGCACTGGAACAGATCATGCAGTGGAAACTGCGCCTTAGGCTGCCCGTGCTATGCGGGTAGCACGCCTCGACTTGGACGATCTTGAGCAACACTGATGAGGGCATCAACACCAAGGTGATCTCAAGTCCAACGCTGGTGCGAGCGTAGCGTGGTCCGATCACTAAAAGTCAAGCCAAGGCATTCAAGGGGCGAC